CTTGCGCTTCGTGCTGCCGGTTGGACTTGCGCCCGGCGCGAATCTGGCTGGCCGCTTGGATACGCGTCCGGATTTACGTCGCGCGGCCGAAGATGCGACTTGATCAGTCCCCGGGGGTGATTCGGTCGCGCTCATGTTTTTTGCGCGCGATTGGCTCGTTGATGATTGTCGAGGTGGAGGTGGAAGTGCGCGGCGCGATCGGTACAGTTGAGGCGGGGACGGTGATGGGAGACGCGTTGTATGTCCGAGCACTTTTAGTGCAAGGTTGCGCGCACGTGCGTCTGACACTACGCCATCGACGTGTCGCCTTCACGCTCCGTCTCATCTGTGTGCACTTGTTGCCGCCCCTTTGTCAGTCAAATGTGAGATTCCCAGATGCATGTGCTTCACTTGGCAGGGAAACGATCTCGGTACGGGCAACCATCTGTTGCCTTGTCGGACGAGGTCGATTGGTCTATTATATACAGTGCTCATAGGGAAAATGTCAGTCTAGAATATTAACAACCGTTCAGGCAGCAGCCTTGACCGGCTCGCCCTCTTTGATGTCCAGCTTTTCAACACCCTCAACAAGCTCTGTTCCCCCGTTAGACGCGGTAGTGGTATTCTCGGCTGCTGCGGGCACTGCAGCCTCGCCCGCAGTCTTCTCTGCCGTCGCACTTCCAACACTAGGCTCGTCTCCTCCCCACAGGTAGATCTCGCTCTCTCCTATGATCTTGCCAGCCTTCTCCCATCGCTCTTTCCTCTGTTGTCTCCGCTCCGTGGAGATCTTCTCAAGCGCAGGCCAGTAGACGGAATGGTCGTACTTGAAGTCGACTTCACCGCCAGAGACTTTCATGAGCTGTGATGTGGGCACGTGGTTGGGTAGGGGCTCGTTCGACTTGATCTTGGACTTGGTGACGGGGTCGATAAAGGGGTTGATGAGCTTGAGGAAGGCATTGACATACCATGGGACTATTTGTGATGTCAGTAGTGCATACGTGTGGCATTGAAGTGGTCCTTACGATGTGTGAGCAATGCCCTACCAAGTCGCTCGGGGTAGTGGTTCTGCAAGATGTCAAGGACCTGTTTGGCGATGCCCATGCTAGGGGTGCCACCAGCTCCCGTGTTCCTGAAGTCGATCAACAGTGCCAGACTCTCCTGGCCAGGCGGGTGCAAGTCTATGGTGCGCTCCAGCATGTAGACCAAGTGCTCTACCCGCTTGGGTGTCTCCTTGGTGTTCTGGTTCTGCGGCAGCAGGTACAGACACGGCCTTCCCTCGTTGTCGAAACCAAGCAAGACCTGCTTGCCGGTTTCGTTCTCCTCTGAGATGTACTCGGCAGTGAAGCGGTCGGTGCCGTACTCACGACGCCATACCAGCGTCGAGCGCAGGCGCTGTATCGCTTGGGGAAGGTTCCACTTGGTGGCACGCAGGTATCGGAGGAGGCATTCGCGAGTGAGCCACATGCGCTCATCGTCGCTGATTGGTGCGGTCTCGGCAGTCTTTGCAGAGGTGGTGGGCAGCGTTTCCCATGTGCGGACATCGGCGAGAAGCTCGTCGTATTTGGTTTGCTGCTCGGCGGTCAAGGCAGGGGCAGCGGCGGGCTTGCAGCCGGGTGCAGGCTCCGCAAAGGGGCCAATTGCAGACATTATGTTCAGTGTGTAGATGATCAGCCCAAGTTGGTCTCGTCTACCGTTCTTGTTCAAGTATCTTGGGTGAAGTCCTTGTTGCCGTGTTGGCGTTGGTGTCAGCCTTGGGCAACTTTTTGGGAAGCATGGCGGTCCCTGCATGCACGTCGATCGCCCTAGGCCGCCTCCATGCTAGCCCCACCGACACGCGCGACGCGTCTTCGGAGTTCGCACGCGCAAAGTGCTCTCCCGGCCATCACCCCGAATACTCACAGTCACACACAACATGGACGACCTTACGACCGAACTCACCGAGCGCTTCGAGCGCTACTGCGACACCAAGGATGACCAATTCCCCGCCGATGTCCTCGCTGAACTGCAGTCAATGTCACGGCTGTATTCTATCTCGCCCGAGGAGCTGGATTTCAAATGGCAGGCATACAACATGAAGATGGGCGGAGAAGAGAGCAAGATGGACGTCAAGACGGCACGAGACTTCAAAAAGACGATACAAGATGCATTGGAGCGCGAGAGCAGAGGGAAGGCCCAGCAGAGAAACGAAGTCAAGCGGGGCCAGCCAACACCACGAGCAAAGGGTGGGGACATGTATGACATGTATGTTTAAACAGTGGAAAGACATCTAGGACATTGTCATTGACTGGACGCAGACTAGAAGGACTCGTGCCGGGTACCCCACGTCAAAGCACAACGAACGGCGCCAATGGCAGTACAATAAAGCGCAAAGCCAACTTCCAGACACCGGGAGGCAAGGCCACCAAGGCTCACGAGATGAGTTCGCCCGGAGGATTCATGACACCGAAGGCTGAAGCCCCAGGTGGTCCGTATGTATACTGGGTGCACACCGCAGACATGCTCTAACGTCCACTCAGTGTCTTTGACTTCGCTTCCCGAACGAACGCAAACGACATCACCGAACAATTCATGCAAAGCGAAATTGCCATCCCGGAGCCGCCATCAGAAGAACCGAAAGAACCTCGCATTAAACTCAAGGCGAATACGGACATGTCCAAGTTCTCGTACCGCACCATGGCCATGAAGCTCTCTGAAGCGTCTGAAGTCTTGGATGATCGGATTGACGAGTTCCGTGACCTACTCAGGGACACAACGGGTCTGGACGAAAGCGCCTTCGGCAACCCCAATTACCCGTCACCGAGTGAGATCATTGCAGTCGGAAGAATTGCAAGCGACACAAGCGAAGGCAAACTCAACACGGCATCACTTGTCCTTGAAGGCTCGCGAAGACATGGCTCAGGCCGACGTGTACCGCTGAACGTAGAGGGGCTATCGTCGTATGACTTCTTTCCCGGCCAGATTGTTGCTCTGCGTGGTACCAACGCTTCGGGTGACTCATTCGTAGTATCGGAAGTCCTATCACTTCCACTGCTGAATCCGCCTGCTACAAGACCCGAAGAATTGGATGCCATTAACGCGAGATATCTCGACACGCCCGATTCCGATCCGGAGAATGTCCGACCTCTCACCATCATGATCGCGTCCGGACCTTACACGACCGACCAGAATCTCGACTTTGCCCCATTACACACCTTCCTTGACAATGCTGCTGAAGCATACGCGGACTCTATCATCCTAGTGGGCCCATTCCTCGACGCAGAACATCCTCAAATTCGGTCAGGAGACTTCGATGCTCCGCCAAATGTAAGCCCAGATCAGGCTACCATGACTGATCTGTTCAGACACCATGTCTCGAGCGCCATCCAAAGCTTCAACAAACGCGTACCAACATGTAATGTTCTTCTGGTCCCCAGCTTACGAGACGCGCATCACCACCATGCTGCGTTTCCGCAGGATAAGTTCATCAAAAAAGAGCTTAGCCTGGGCGCTGCAGGAAAGATGGTCCAATGCGTGACCAACCCAATGACTGTCAGCATGAATGAAATGACCGTGGGCATGTCGTCGATCGATATCTTGGATATGCTACGTAGGGAAGAGCTGGCAGGCGGCAAGGCACGAAGTACGAATATCTATGAACGGTGCGCTCGAAACGTCCTCGAGCAGCGGAGTTTCTTGCCAATTTTCCCGCCAACTGGAAGAGAAAAGCAGCAATTCATGCCCGCGCCAATCGAGGAGAAGGTCATGAAGAATGAGGCACGGAACAGTGAGCGGAAAGAGGGTGAAGAGCTGGAGGAGGAACAGTCACCCAGCCCATTTCTTCCGTTGGGTACCATGCTCGATACGAGCTATCTCAAATTGGGCGAAATGCTGAATGTACGGCCTGACATACTCATAACTCCCAGCGTGCTTCAAGGCACAGTCAAGGTATGCTAAGATGGCTCGCCCACTAGAGAGCGATATACTAACCCTGACCAGGTCGTGGAGTCTGTACTGGTCGTCAACCCTGGCACTTTAGCTAAACGGCGCGCGGCAGGGACATATGCCCGCGTCATAATACAACCAGCTGTCGTCAGTGACGCAGAAAGGGAGAAAGGGGTTGCAGTCGCGCACAAGCTCTGGGAACGGACGCGTGTTGACATTGTGAAGATATAGGCGTTGGATGTTTGTCATAGGTAAACCCTGGAGTTGAGTATCAGAGATGTGTTTGGCGTTCCCCCGTGGCAATGGGCATGAAACCATTACTATCAGGTGCAGCTCAGCGTGTGGTGTTCGTGATGACCATGTAGGAGGCAGTCGCAAACACTGGCTGTATACTAAGAGATAATTAAAGAAGAGACTAAGCTGGTGCGCTGCAGTCGGTCTACTTTAGTATGAACCTCAACAGGAACAAGTTTTAAGGCGATGTAGGCTTCTACTACATTGTCTTCTACTATCCTCTAGTGCGTGATCAGCATTTTCCTTGGACACATCGCACAATTGGTACCGGATCTGATCGCGGAAGTTGGGATGGTAGGTGCATAGTTACCGTTGAGAAGTGCATGTTTGCCCTAGGCAGACGGCGAACACATGATGCCGCGTCACTTTTGCGACGCGACTAGTAGGTCGACAAACCGATGTTGCTCCATGTCACTTCGTCGCGCCTCCTTTGCGCATGCACTCCTGAACTTGGTTGGACCCGCAGCTTAACCAAAGGTCACCATAGGTTTTCTGCATTGCACATTCACTGCGAGCATTTTGCCCGCGCCTGTATTAGGAAGGCACTAGCTACCCGCGCACGTCAGCAATATTTACCAGTGAGAGCAAGCGGACTGGTAATGGTCTTTTGCGACCTGCTCCGTCGGTTTCCTTGCTGTAGCAGCAAGCGCACAGGTATTAAGGAGACGCACGAGCTTCCTCGTCGACCAGAGCAAAGTTCGCCTGTCCCCAGCATCCCAGATCACAGTCCTCAACACCACGCTGAATCGCCTCAACGTCCACGCGACTCCCTCGACGGTACTCAAGAAGACGACTCCGCATCCTCCATGCCGCCCAAGCGCAAAAACACAGACAACGCCGCCGCTATGGACCGTCCAGAAAGGAAGACCAAGGCTCCCAAAAAAGGAGCAAAAGCAGCCCCCGAAGGTAAGTCGACGGTTTCCTCCTCCCATTCATGATTATCCGTCATTGGTTTGGCGGCGATGCATGTCAAGCTCGAAAGATGCAAGGCTAGCTTGTCGCCGCGGCCTTAATTCCGGGGCTTGGGTGCACGAGCAAGGGTTGAGTCGACTCGGCGGGGTCGGCCCTACAATTGCTGCCTCGTCGGTGCGTCACAGCTCGCCCAAGTATCGCCAACTCTGTCTATTGTCCACCACGGTTCGGCGACCAAGACGCGCACCCAATCTGTGAATTCACTTTGCGCGATTCTTTGTCTCTCAACACTGCACCCATTCTCTATCACCAAATTCTGCGCACCGGCTTGCGCCCTCCACCCCTCCACCCCGCCGCTTCCTCACATCGAGCTCGCAATCAATAGCTGGAGTTCGATACAAGGCGCTAATACAATATGCCTACAGTATACACTGCTCAGCAGAAAGCTGCAATCCAGCAGTTCATCAGCTTTACTCAACTTGACAAGTCCACCGCGGTCAGGGCACTCAAAAGCCATGGCTGGGATGCACAGAACGCCGTGAACGCGTAAGTACAGCTTTTCCTTTGTTTTTCATATATACAGTACACGTTTGTTGCATGCTTGTTATATCTACGCACGCATCGCGCCATCCATTCCAATCGACGCAGCGACCGACCGACCGAGCAACCACCCGACTGGCACCCGAACACAAGACGGACATACTTGCGGATACATATCTGGGAAGGGGCAACACGATACTTCTGGGAGCTGTGATAGTACCATGTCACGGACAAGGAAGCACGAAGGATCAAGTCGCGCAAGAAGCTGCAAGTCATAGTGACAGATCGAGTTCAAAGCAGCTGCGGTCTGCGGGCACACGCACCTGTGACTTCCAAGAACACAACGCCATTGTAAAGCTCCTGCACTTACAGTCCAACATGGTCTTACTTCGTCCCGTTCGAGGCGCTGGTACAATAGCACGCCTTCTCCTGCGGCATTTTCTCATCCACAAGAAAGCCCTCAACAAGCCTCCCTCGGTGCACTCGTCCAAACACACGCCACATTCGCTCGTCAGGTCAGATCAGTCGTGTGCTATCTCCGCAGCCCGTCATGTTCGGTTCCTCACAGGACAGGGCTAGGCAGCTAGCCGGGCGTAATCGACGAGAACGCATCAGTTCCATCAGCTCATGCTCTAGCTCTCGATCTATGAGCCTTTCAAGTCGAACTTCTCATCTGAGGGATATCCAACCCGCTCAAGTACACGCAGTCAGCACAATCAACACCGTCGACGACGAACGCATCTTTTCTGGCAACACCGCTACTTCCTCCGATTCCACCGCGTCCAGTATCGAGACCTACACAGTCAAGGGAGCTTTCCAACCGCTTTCCGTACCACACCTGGTGGAGGGTCTGGACTGTTTACAAACGGAGCAACATCGAGTCCAAGCGGAACACCTAAGCCGCGTGCTACACAGCAGTCTCAGTCTTACCAACGTTACCAACGCACCCGAAAGTCAGTTCGCACTAGCCCGTCATGTACGATACGGCAGTCTGGGAACAGACTCGGTCATTCTACAACATCCGCGCAGTATCACGGCCCCCCTTCCAACTACATCCTTGCCGCAAACTACACTTGAGGACTTACTGGTGCTCTTGCACACCACTACTGCGCCTCCACTCCGCACTTCCGTCTCTGATCATCACCTAGGATCAGAACCGATTGTGTCGTTGCGCGGTGGTTCTGGCATCGACGTTGGCTCTGATAATCATAGCAACGACTACAGCGAGCATGACATCTCAGGAAGACGCAGCCCCCAAGTTTCAGGGACTCCGAAACAAGATGAGACCTGGACTCTCAGAAGCCATCTCTTAAAATGCACGGGTCCCATGGACTTTGCTTCATATGTGCACTCCGTCCAACAAGAGACTCGTCGGTACGAGTCCCTGGGAATACCCCAAATGTGGCTGAGGATGCAACCGGTCTATTTGCATTTGCCCATAACCGTAGGCGTACACTACAACATCTTTCTCCAATCACTCCACCCTGGAGTTCGGAGTGATCTCGCCAAGTTCTTCGGCCTTCTCCCATTGATCCACCACAAAACGTTCTCGGATTACCTTTTCGACAAATGGAAGTTGACGCGCCTGGAATTCTTTCATCGTTTGGGACCTGTTGGCAGGGCCAGATTCTGCAACGTCATCGTCGAAAGAATGAGTTTGGTGACAGGGGCTGAGGAATTGCCCGTGCTGAGCGATGCCACGTCATCGCCCATCGACACAGCGGCTATGTTCATGACTGCGAAAATGTCGGTGCAGCTCAACCCTCCCACATTACTGAAGAATTATCAGTATCGCGTGTACCTTTACGATGTGCCTGGATTCCAAGTCACTAACGACGAGCTTTTCGTATACAACTGCCAACTGGCAACTCATTAGATACATTGACAAAGACTGACAAGTCACGCAGTTACTACAGCAGCAGCAACAGCGGCGGTTCCCAAGGCTCATCTGCGATGAAGACCAATCTCAACAAGCTGTTCGATCGGTACCAAGAGGCTGGTGCACCAGACAAAGACATCGTCGGAGTAGAGGGCACGATGCGGTATTTCGACGACACTGGCGTCGATGCCGAGGGCCTAGATGCGTTGGCGGCTCTTGAAATCGTCCAGGCCCCTACCATGGGCGAGATGAGCCGCGATGGCTTCGTCAAGGGTTGGTTGGAGCGCCAGTAAGTGCCACTATTTTTCAGGTTGTCTTCGAGGTCGTTTAGAACCTAACCCAAATGCAGCTGCGAGACCATCGACAAGCAGAAGTCGTATCTCAAGATTCTCAAGAGCGAGCTCTCGGGCAACAAAGACGTCTTCACCCGGGTGTACAAGTACACATTCACCATCGCCAAGACTGCGGACCAGAGGGCTGTTCCACTTGAGATGGCCACAGTGTACTGGGAGTTGCTCTTCAGTTCGCCCTTGTCTGCTGTTCAGTGGTCAAGTCCCAACACTCCGTGGCTTACTTGGTGGACTGAATTCCTCAACACGTCGTGGAAGAAGAGCGTCAACAAGGACATGTGGAACGAGACACTCAAGTTCGCGCAACTCTCGCTGGAAGACGAGACTATGGGCTTCTGGAACGAGGAGTCTTCATGGCCGTCTGTCATTGACGACTTTGTCGAGTTTGTCAAGAAGGAGAAGCGGGGTGACACCGGGGAGCAACCGATGGACGAAGACTACTATTGATCTGGGTCAAGACGGTCTATGAAACTAGCGGGGAGTTATGGTAGAGGATATGCTTTGCTGCTATAGCAGCTGGCGGCGTTTTGCTCATCAGAAGGCGGGTTTACTTGATGCATGTTACGAGATTCACGGGAGCATTCCATACCATGGCCAAATTTACAGCACTTTGAGCATCTTCTAGTAAATAGACTAGCTCAGCATGATACATCACCGTGCGCTATCTATTTTATTTCGTTTGTGCTGCGTGATTACACAGTGGAACAAGTGACCGTCGACAGCAGCGCGGAGCAGGCAAAGAAACAAGATGCTGCTAAGTATAAGATGCGCGCAGGTCGTTGAGTTGGGTCTGAAGATATTTGCATTGCTGCCGCGGACACTGTACATAACCACTGTTTGTCGCGTCCGTTGTTGTCCGGCGAGGAAGGTTGGTGGTGGTCGCTGCGCTCTTGGTGTGGCTAGGGCCAGCGTAAGCGAGGTGCCACTAGCGTGTCCACTGAGCTGCGGCGCCTTCGCAAAATCCATCAACGCCAACTTTTGACGACACCACATCGACAACTAACCACACAGCAGTCAAAGTGCGTATACCGAGGCGGACTGCTGTTACTGTACTAACGATATCCCAGATGGTCGCCGCTAAGAAGCATGTCCCGATCGTCAAGAAGCGTACGCCGAATCTGCCTCCATGACCTGGAAAACTCGCGACTGACGTATCCGTTTACAGACCGCAAGCGCTTCAACCGCCACCAGTCGGACCGCTTTATGTGTAAGAGACACCGGAGCTGGGAGTGAAGGAATTGGCATCTGACACTGGACAGGCGTCGACCCCTCATGGCGCAAGCCTAAGGGTATCGACAACCGCGTCCGCAGGCGGTTCAAGGGCCAGGCTGCTATGCCCAAGGTACGGACTACCAACTACCCGGACGGAGGAAGAATCTTGTCACCGAGAGGACACTGAGCGGACACGGAATGCTTGATGGACCAGGGCTGACGGAACGCCTCACAGATCGGATACGGCTCCAACAGGAAGACCCGCCACATGATGCCCAGCGGCCACAAGGCTTTCGTCGTCAACAACGGTATGCTACCCATCGAGTTCGACACCACCCCAGGATCCCGCTAACGGATGCAGTCTCCGATGTTGACCTCCTCCTCATGCACAACCAGACCTTCGCCGCAGAGTACGTTCGCCAGCTTCCGTTCCACCATCCTACATACTAATGAATCCTTCAGGATCGCCCACGCTGTATCAGCACGAAAGCGCATCGAAATCATCGCCAGGGCGAAGCAGATCGGTGTCAAGGTTACCAACGGCAAGGCCCGCGTCAAGACCGAGTCGTAGATGGGTGCGGATGTTCACTTTGGGGCGGGGCATACAAGGCGTCTCTCTGATTAGTTATGATCTCAATGGGAAGGCTTTTCATCCTCTTCGGCTCACGGTACCCTTCGATACGGTATGGGGAGAGGCATGCACTTCAAAAAGCATTGCGACATGTTACTGCGGAATGACCAAAGATATCAAGGGACAGGAGCAGTAGGAATGCAATGAAAAAACGAGCCAAATCAGGATCTCCTCGATGACGCAGGATGTGATGCTTTTTGATCTTAGACTAACTGCAGAGCCGCTTTGATTTCGCAACCCAAACTGCCGGCCGCGCAGAACAAACGTGTGTGTTGCGGTATCGTCCGTAGAGTGCCTTGGACGCTGCATGTACTCTGCGCCAAGCATCGAATGCGCATCAATCAGGCTGATCTTCTTCACATGCCACAGATCAAGTCATGGCTATCAAGATGACGACTAGAGCTTGCGGCAAAATATGCCGCGCCGGTTGTTGCTCAGCGTTGCGAGCTCTACTTCTTTCAGCTAATGATACTGCATCCACGGTGTTGGAGTGGGTTGCAGAAGCCTTTTACCGGCGACCAGTATACCTTGACGTCGACTTCGCATTCATGTCATCGACAAGCAACATCGAACCTGCATGCTAGCACTATGCAGATGCCTGTTGGATGAAGTACTACCGGTTATTTTGGTCAATTGCTTGAGCTGCCTAAGCATCAACATGGCTGACGGGCATGTTTCCGGATGCGCACACCAACTCAGCGCGTCGCCTGCTCGGAAGATGCGCAGCCGCAAGCCATGTCCACTCCTCAACCTACTCACCGCCATCAGATTGATGAGTGAACTCGACGCACATTGATAAGGAGTCTGATAGTAAAGCCGTATGACCAGCCGTACGAGTCACAAAGGGGCAGCGCAAGAGCCATGGTTGCTTCTTGGCGCCGTCGCACGTACGCTGGGTGCAGCCGCGTAGGAGCAAGTGAGGCGCCGCGTGGGCTCAAAGGAAGGCCGGTATTTGTCGCGTGGCAGCGGGCGTTGTAGGCAGGGTTTTGGCTGTCTATTTGCTTGTCTGGCATGGGTGTGGAGATGGAATGTTTCACGACGTTGGAGAATCGGAGCGAATGTTGCAAGTACGGGGAAGGCGATCTGAGGAAGGTTGAATTGCGCAGGCTGGCGCTTACTCTGCTTTGACGCACGCATCAGATTGTCGAAACATGCAAGCTGCTTAGAAGAATGCTCTTTGTTGCTTCAGGCGATCCGGGGCTCCGAGTCCGTTGTTTTGTCATGGTTCCTGGTGCTGGTGCTGGTTCCATCGACGGCGGACATGTTGAGCGCCTCGCTACCGGCTGCGCTTACGGAAGTTCCGCGCACGATCTAGCAACGCCTGTCGGTCCACTCAGTCCCTTTCGCATCCGCACACCTCAACCCAGCATCACACCGCTCTGAAGCTGCCCTCAGTCTGTGCCTGCCCTTGCAATTTCACACTCCCAGGCGACTGCTGGACAATCGACCTGGCTGCGTCGCGTTATCTGGCATTATCTGTCCACGCGTGGCTGGCACCCCAGGTGATTGGCCCAGGGCGGCACTCTATCAACGCATGTGGGTTGCTGCGAGGGAGGCACGAATGCGGAGCCTGGCATGCCACCACGACAATCAGCGGATCCGTGGGCGCGCGACAGGAAAGAACCGGGAACGTGTACCGCTGAGAAGAGCTGATTGAGGCAGTGTGTCATGACGAATTTCTGATGAGGCCTGTTTTACTGAGGGTCCGATACGCTCGGGGGCGACGTGCGAGGACTCGGTGCTCACGTTGGCATTGGCCTTAGATGTCTGACTATTGCTACCCGGTACATGGTCCACACTTGTACCCACGGTAGGTCGAAGCGCATCCCAATTTCCTTCCGTCAGCCTGGGAAAGATTTTCAGACCCAGCACTAAATTAGCTCCCGTCTTTTAAATATTTCGACACCCCAGCGTCTTTGTTTCGAGATTCCTCCTTTCACGCGCACTCAGTGAACCACGCTCGTCGAAGGCTTGCCTCGCTCCTCATAGCGACACAGTCGTGCACCTGCACGCAGTGACCGGCGGTCTTCGGCTAGTCACTTTCACAACACACTTCTGAAGTACCGGATTTCCATACCTCGTCTACCAACTCGCCTCTGTTCAAGCGGAACCTCGCAGCATCCAACGTTGCCACTGACGATCACAACCACGTGCTTTACCCGACGGCAGACTTTGCTTCAAGAACTTTCCGGAGTACTTGCCACCCCCGGAATCTCAGACCCACCACCACTGCCGACTGTCCCCGGAGGACATCACCGACAGTGACCAGAGGAATTTATTCAAACATTCCAAAACCATCGACATGGCGCCCAACCTCTTTATAGCCACTCAAAAGGCCTTTGCGCCCCACAAGTGGTTCAAGTCGAACAAGGCAGAGCAGTCATCCAAGGTCGTTGAAGAGTGGACCAGCCCAGTACCCGGCCAGTACGAGAGTATCCCCGGACGAGGCTGGTTTCTGATCGCAACTCTCAAGGACGATTCCAAGCCAGAAGGCCACCCCAGTTCATATATCAAGTCATCAACTGGCAGAGTGTACGTTCCCCTGGACCGTCCTGTTCCCCTGAAATACTCCCATGCCATCGGTCGTTATTTCCTAGAGCCCGAGTTCAACAAGCGCAAGAAGACTGTCATGATCAAGAACGACAAAGGCAAAGAAGTACAAGCAGGCTTCTTCCGGGTCGACGACGTGGCTTGGGTCAAGTGCTGGGACGAACACGACACCTTCATTCCTGGGAACGCAAATGGCGCTGCGGGCTATCAACGTTGGGTCTTCGATCAGCAAACACAGCAATTCCGTCACATGATCAAGCGCGACGATCCCAACTATGTTCGGTCCCGAAAGAACTCTCCCGCTCGCGATGCCGACAACCGCAGCCAAGAGTCAGTCAGCACCGAGTATCGCACTAGCCGTCCTGGTAGCACCAAGAACGGCTTCAGCGTTGCTAGCACAAGGGCCAACAGCTTCCGCTACCAGCCTCCGACTCCTACGTCAAACCCGACTAGCCAACGCCCTTCAAGACAGAGCAGTCCCAAGCGCAGCGACAGCATACCTCTTGAAGAAGCCAAAATTGCCCTCAGACGTTTGGCTAGGGAGCACGAGGAAGCCGCAGCTGCGTTGGCTCGATCTCGCATGAAGCGCACCGACTCCAAAGGTCGCGTGGAGCAGATTGAGCGCGGTCGTGTTTCCGAACGGGTTGGTAACTAAAAGTGTTTTACATTGGGCGTTCGGCACAGCGACATGATGGCGCCCGGCTATTCTGCGACATGGAGCTTGGCATTCAACACGTGGTGGTACCGACTTCACGGTGCTACGACTCCCCTTTACAATCTTGTAATCTTTCTAGAGTCATGATTTCCTTTTCACGGCCTGAGGTTCAACGTGTTCAGTTCATTAGCGATTATCGGTCCTTGTACGGCTGAAGGCCGAGTGGAGTTCAGTTTAGGTTTCGTTTTAGACTTTTGGCGCTTCACTTCTTCTTCTGTACGGCGCATTACTACAAGGGCATCATGCACGGTATACCCAGATATGGTTTAAGCCCTTCGCGGCTCTGTTGTCAAGCTTCATAGACATTGTTTTGTAGGTCCAACGTGGCGAATGTATCAT